TTCCTCAGCCTCCCAGAAATAGAGGAATAAAATTTAAAGGATGTCACCATTAGGACGTGGTCAAAGGGAAACATCATGTGATTCCCGATATGATCCACTGAGGACAAGCAGCACTTCAGCTTTCTCTCGGCCAAAACCGAAACCAACAGCAAAAACCGAAAGGAAAAACCACATAAACCCCATCTAATTATAAGCCTATTTTACTGTACACCAACTGGGATATTTTACAAAACAGTGACACATATTCGTAAAGAAATAGCAAGCAAAAATGACTGAAAGGAAACCAGAGAGATTGTTTCAGGTCAATGGACACTAAACAGATATGAGAAATAAAGGCAATTTGTGATATTGAGGTTCTGGACTGGGAACCTAGATGTAAGGAACATTAATAGGCCTCTGACAACATTTGAATACAGGCTAGACTTATTCAGCGCTAGGGTACGAATATAAAATGTACTTGCTTAGGTCACTGTACTGATGTTATAAAAGATAATCATTTGTTGATTTCTCTCATTTGTGGAGTATAACAATGAAGCAAAACTGAAGAAACAAAATGGCAGCAGACTCAGAAACTCCAAGAAGGAACTAGTGGTTACCAAAGGGGAGGCTTGTGGGAGGGTGGGGGTGTCCAGCCACTTGCTTGGTGGAGATCAGGGCTGCCTAAAATGACCACAGGCATCTTCTGACCCTTCCTCTCTGTCCCCTCGACCTCACCGTGCTTCTCCTCCAATTCTGCGCTTCCCCCAACCTCTGTGCCTTTCTCTCCCTCCCTCCTCCCTGCCCATCACCCTCAATCCCTGTCCCACATCCCTTCTCATTCCATGCTTCTCNAACCTTCATAAGAGTGCATATCAATCATACCTTAATAAAAAATCTTTTTAAAAAAAGATAATCATTTGTTCATGAAATGCACATTTTTTGCAGATATCATGGATCACGGCCCATTAGTAAAGGATTCTCCTAAGAGCAGGAACAGAGCACTATGGCTGTGCTGCGCACTAATGTTCCCTAATATACCGCAGGTCCTCTTTGGCACAACCAAGCAAGAAAATGAATACATAACAATTGGAGAAGAGAAAATAAAGCTGCTCTTCCTCACCACAGTATCCCACAGCTGTCCATCTTTACTCTAAATCTTACTCTGGACACCCTATCCATGCTTTCAAGTGCCTGGGCTCCCCCTCAGGGTTCCCTGCGTCACAGGCCCACCTCTTTCTCACACTCTACACAGTCGGATTGCTTAGGTGGGGTCTCATCAACTACAGGGTTAGTGCTATGAAGGCTAATTAATTTTTATGTTTTGTGCATAGACATCCCATGGACCTTGAATGTGCCTTAGCCACAAGATTCATGCTTTAAATGTGTGTTGAAGCCCTGAACAAAAATGACAGCTGAGATTGGCTCTTCATCTGTATCGCTCCGGATGTTTTCTCTCACTTTACTCATTCACTGTTTCTTCTTTCCCTTTCAGGACCCAATTGCTGTCCTGCATGGAGAGGAATCATATTTTGGAGACAAAACCTTAAAGGTGGCTAAGAGGCCAGCAGTCATTAGCTCAGATTCATCCTCTCATTTAATAGATATCAATGCCCTTTGCTCACCTGCTGAGTTCCTTTTTATTTTTTTCCCCTTTTTCTCAGGCATTGTTTTTCTCAGCTTTTTTTTTTTGGTCCCATCTGTTGGCAGTCTTTATTATTAAAATTTAATAGTGTTCAGTAATATACACAATTCACAGATGTTTTTCCACAGATCATCTCCACTCCCCTTGCAGATGCTGTCACTACAATTACAGGTGACATGATGATCACCAGTCATCAGGGAGGTGAGATCATGGTACCCCACACCTTTATTTCTGGGTTCAGCCACTGACAGGCCTCGGATGCTGCCCCTGCCCCGCTGTCCGGATGACAAATGCCCACTGTGTAAGTAGCGATTCTTTTCAGATAAGCAACATTTTAAGAAGCATTTTATCAGGAAATCCAGAAGTACCTCTTCTCTGTAAACTGTGTTTTCTCGGGTTGGAGCATGCAGCAATTTCATGTGTTTATTTAGGAAAGATGTCTGCTCAGAAAACTATGCACATCCTCCTGCCTTGGTGCTGCTCAGTATCTCCCCCTTGCTCCTGGTTACACCCTCTTTGTAGTTTTCTTCCCCTTTACCCTGAACCAGAGAGCCTTCACTGACAGCATTGCCATACCAGCCTGTGAGGGGCAGTTACTTGACGCAAGTGAGCTGTTGGCCACAGAGCTGGGCCCTCACATCTGAGTGGCAGGTGCTGAGTGTGTGTCCCTCTTGGGGGGTGAGGCTGTTTGGCTGCAGGAAATCTGTAATCATACGTCTTCACCTTTCTCAATGAGCAGGGGCTGTTTGCACGATACTATCAGTTAGAAAACTCAATCTCATATCCCCTCCCATTACTGGCATTCAATTCATTTGTAAAAATGAATATGGCTAAATATTATGCAAAGGAATAATCACACTTAAAAAATTATAATATAAATTTGGCCTGTCATGTTTTTTTTTATTTTTTAATGCCTTGCTGTTGTTCAACACTCCAAATTGGTCATCTCCTTCTCTCTCTCCCTCACCTTTTCCCTCTCACTCACCACCCCCACACTTAGCTAATACAGGAAGGTTCTTTTTCAGTTTTTGACCAGAGACCCTGATTGATGGGTAAGCTCCTCTACCCACCCTTGAGAGCAGAAGCCACTTAAATGGATCCTCCTTGGGTCTCCAGAGAATCCCTGTGATCTGGGAACATTATGGGCCATCACCGGCCGTGAATCTTGGCAATTCCTCAAGGGCTGCAGAATTCAGTAACCACCACAGCGCTGTCTCCATGCTTAAGGAAACTCTAATTCCCACACCATACCTATTGGCCTGAATTTTGTTATTTAAATTCATCTATGGTTTCTTCAGAATAACCCCCAGACTTTGCCCTTCCTCTTGCTCTTATTTCCCTACTTGGTTCTAGTTCTTGGGTATATTTTTGTTATACCTGTGATTTCATGTCCAGGGACCCCACAGGACTGCTGGGAGAGGGGTCAGTGCCCCCCTGCCCAGCACTGACAGCTCCACAGGTTGATGTGCACGTTTATGAAGTGTCGGCTTCTTCCCCCAGAGCTTACTGCCCACTGCCCTCTTTACTGCAATTATACAATTGAGAACGTAATGAAAATTACTGAACTATGATTACAAAAAGGAAATTCTCATTTCTTTAAATGCTAAATTAAATGCACTTAAAAATTGGAGGCTCTTAAGAAAAAGCATTGAGGGAACAGTGGGTGAGAAACCTACACAAGTGTAAAGATATAAATCTATGAGTATTCTGTACTCAGATTTCCAGAATTTTTCAGTGATCAGGATATTTTAAAGAACTATCAATTGTTTGTTTTTTAATGGTTTGGTAGAAAAGGAAAAAAATGTGAAACTCCTGCTAAAGGAATTTGACCCACAATAAAATTTAGGCAAATTAATATTTATTTTTTACAGTTAAAAATAACTGAATATCATTTCAATTTCATTGCATTTGTAATCATTTGTTAGACAAACATACTTATAAATTTTTTACTTTTTCTCAGTATTGACTCTTTATACATATGACCAGCATTCTTTTGATCATTTATCTGATTATTATCAATACATAGTTATCAATAGTTTTCTCTTTTACATTCTACATATTAGCATATTTTATTCTGGTTTAATTTTAATTTTAGTCTCATTTATATTTTATTTTTATGAAATCAAATGGCCTCTGGTCTGTGCCATATGTGTCATCTTCATCCCAAAGTGACCCCAGTCCTCTGACAGTTTTCTTGCATCCTCACTTAAATAGATATTCCATCTTGAAAATTCCATCTTTCTCTAGATCTAGAAATGGCAATACTTTTAAAGATTCTATTTTATTTTAATGAGAATATGCATTTGGAGAACACAGTCTGACTAATGACTCAGGAAAGGGCCATCGTCTGTAGATGTGTCTAATGGAAAGAGGTAATATACACATATACGGTTTAAATCAGATACAGATCAAGTTAATGTTTATTCTTCTAAACAAGTTTAATATAATTTTTACTTAAATTATTTTCCTTTCCATTTCTTTTTTTTCCTTTTGATCAAAGGGCCAGTTCTCTCTTCTGTAACATACTTATTAATTTAAATGTTATAATGTACTTATTAATTTAATTTATAATGTACAATGTTTTATTTAAGTGTAACATTTTAAGATCTTTGTAGGTATTTTGATTTGGTATATTTCAGTAGAAATCTACAGTCAAAGCTAATTTTTAAAAAGGCACTTGAAGCATAACTATTTTGTATGGTAGATTGTAAATTTATTACAGTGAGCTTTGAATATTTTCTTTTACTTTTGTCATTGAATTTGGTTGTTTTAATTTTATTTTGATATAATATTGTTTGATCATTATGTAAAATATTTGTTCAAAAGTCAAAACTATTACTCAGGTCAACCCACCTATTTCTACTTGTCCCTGTCCCTCCAGACTGTTCCATCTCTGCCTCTCTGTAGCAGCATCATTGTAAGTTTCCACTTCATTCTTTCCTGATTCTTTGTGTAGTTGCTTAGATAGATAATGTGTGTGTATTTACTGACATTTATTTATTGTTATTCCTGCACAATCATATAATTGTAGAATATTAAACACTCTTTAACCCACCTGCCTTTTTTCACCTAGGAATATATCCTGAAGGCAACTTCATAAATGGGTAGAAATGATCTTTCTCCACTTTGTGACCATAGGAAATATATTGTGTAAATGGTGCATCATTACTCAAAAAACTTCCTTTATATGGACATTTAGCGTGATTCCACATAAGACCCTCATAACCACTGCACCTGTAAGAACATACTCTGGAAGTCCCTATGGAGTGAGAAAGAGTGTTCCTAAAAGAGGGGTAATGTGTGTTCCATTGAGCAGTATAAATAGCAGAGCAGAAGAAGGTAACACATTTATGTTTGTTTATCTTTCTATCATTTCTTTATGCTCAAAATAAAATCAATATCTTCTAGGTATGAAAGACATGGATATGCCACCTTGGAAATGGGGATTATCTTCTTCGTTCAGACTGGAGTGGGGATCCTGGGAAACTCCTCCCTCCTTTTTCTCTATAACTTCTCTTTGCTCACTGGATACAAGTTGAGACCCACAGATCAGATTGTCAGCCAACTGGTCTTAGCCAATAACTTGGTCCTTTTCTCCAGAGGGATCCCACAGACCATGGCAGCTTTCGGATGGAAATCTCTCCTAGATGATGCTGGATGTAAACTTGTCTTCTATTTACACAGAGTAGCCAGAGGAGTCTCTCTTGGCACCACCTGCCTTCTAAGTGGCTTCCAGGCCTTCAAGTTTTTCCCCAGAACCTCTTGGTGGTTGGACTTCAGAAACAGATCCCCCAAATACATTGGCTTCTGTAGTTTCCTTTTATGGATCCTACAACTCTTGGTAAATATCCACATTCTTAGGAAAGTTACTGGACCAAGGAGCAGCAAAAATGCAAGTATAAAAACGAACTATGGATACTGTTCCTCACACAATCCAGATATATTCATCAGCTTTTTCCATGCAGTCCTGTTGCCTTCCATTGATCTTCTGTGTTTAGCCTTCATACTGTGGACCAGCGGGTCCGTGGTGCTTCTCCTGCACAGGCACAAGCGGCGCGTCCAATACCTTCACAGCCACAGCCTTTCCCCAAGACCTTCCCACGAGGCCAGAGCCACTCTCACCATTCTGATCCTGGTGAGCTCCTTTGTCTTATTTTATTGTCTCTCTTCCATTTTGACTCTGTGTGTTACTGTGACCGTGAACCCGAGGCAGTGGCTCACGGACACCGCTGTGCTAATAGCTTCATGTTTCCCAGCCTTCAGCCCCTTTGTGCTCATCAGCAGTGATGCCCGTATCTCTCTGCTCTTTAATTTCTGCACCAGAAAATGTTATTTTCCTAATCTTATTCAACAACTGTAAGCCTTCTCATTTCGGCAGTTGAACCAATTTTTAATTTATGTTAAAAAAAAATTTTTATTAGGTGATTATCAGGTAGTGTCCTGTAGAAGCTGTAATTCTTAGTGGTAAATAAGAAATCTTTTTAAGAGAGCAAAATAAACTACAGATCTGTATGAAACATATGACTTCCTTTTTAATAAACAAAAAACTTGTATATAAGCTCCCAGGCACACACAGAGGGGTGCACTCATGTGTAGACAGCATCCTAACAAGATAACATGATGCAAACATCGCTTTTCTCCGAGAGGTAGACTAACTAGACTTTTTACTTATAAATATACATAGAGTAGTACTCCCTAATGAACAATAATTAACTTGGTATTTTATACATTAAAAACTTTGAATGTACATTAGGGAAGAGAATGTGCAAGTATAAGACAGTTTTATATTTTGTAGCTAAAACAATTTTATGTTTTATGGATAAGACAGTGTTTCTTACTGAGTGGGGCACAGTCACGGACTAACAGGAAGGAGAGACGTTTTTCGGTGCGGACCAGAGCCCGGAGATCTGTGCCCGTCTGCTCCAGAGCTGCCCAGTACGCTCCCTGTTTGCTCCAGGATGGCCCTACGGTCTCTTTTTCAGTCCTGCACCAAACCTATTGATACACAAAAACATCCAGGCTGCATGCATTTAAAGTGCAATAAGATAATATTTATTCGCGTCCAGCTACCGGTGGAAGTCCACTAGAGTTGATTTCATGGATTCTGAAATAATGCTTAAATAACGATCGCTCTTTAAGTGCGCTGAAGACTCCCCCAGAAATTGGCCTCCGCCCCTCTAATCAGCAGCTATGCCCCTGCCCCACCCTACAAGCATAGTGAGGTCATTTCCCAGCGGCCTAGAGGTGGCGAAGACAGTTTCTCTGGGAGATTCCAGCTTCGGGCGCCCTCTTTCGAAGCCTCAGCGGCCGGTGGACTACATTTCCCAGAAATCCATGCGTTGAGTGGCAGTGGCAACGCTCTAATGAAAATCCAGACGGGGTTATTTCCGTGAGAGCGAAGCTTATGGAGGCCTGACTTCCGGCGTTTTCGAGGTGGTCATTTTAGCGGTTCCCTGGTCAGTTCGCTGGGTGTGCAGCTCCGGAGCGATGGGCGACTGACAGAAGGCGCTAGACGAGGCCTGGACGCCCCCATACACGGGGTGACTCTAGGGCCGGGGACACCGCCCCCCGCGAGCCCAGGAGACGTAGGTGCCCGCGCCCGCCCCGCTGTCACCTCTCCACGCCGCCCAGAGACTCCGATGGCGGCGGCCACGCTGAGCGGCCCGGCCCAGGTACCTGCCCGTCCCCGGGCCTCCCCAGCCCACCCACCCACCCTCGGGCCCCGAGTGCGGGCCCTGCTCGCGGCCCGGGACGGAGAGGCGCTCGTGGGCGGGGCCCGTGTCCTGAGCGCCGGCGTGACTGCGCGTGGGGCCGGTTACGGGCGGGGGGACCCGCGCGCGCGGAGGCCGGAGGTGCGGCCGAGCCGGGGGGACTCGGGCATCCGGGAACCTGGGGCGGCCTTCCGCCCGCAGGGAGCGGAGTCTGTGTCGAGTCGCACCTGTGATGCCAGGCTGTGGAGTCGTCCCTTCCTCCTTCAGAGCCCTGGGAGCCGTGGGGAACTTTGAGGAAAAGAGAGACGATCCAAGCTGGTGTTTGAAAAGTTCCCCCGAGTCTGTTGAATAGACGAACAGACTGTAGGGGGTGATGAGGACATCGAGGCAATGGGAGATCGAGTCCTTTACTAAGGACATGCAGCCGGTGACGGAGCCAGAGGGGACCTGGCTCTGGTGCCCGCGGGGGTCCAGGGAATACCTGGGTCCCCGGAAAACCGCCGCAGGCACGTCCCTCTAAAACCGGTCTCTTCCCACAGGTTTCCATGGCTGCAGAAGTGTTTTTGCAACCCACACAGGTAAGGGGAGGTTGCCGCGTCCCTCGGTGGTCCCAACCCACATTTTCTCCAGAGTTGTGGTGTAATGAGACTCTTCGCCTGCCATTCTCACTGCCCTCAGGGTTGGGGACCCTGGAGAATCTTAACACAGGGTCCTGAGTCTACACTAGGGGTTATATAGAGGGGTCCCACATCAGGCCGTCAGTGGAGAGAGATGTGAAAGCTTATCACAAAACAGGTACCAGTATGTGAAACTGCTTGGAGGTGAGGCTAAGCTGGTTCAGTAATTGCAGGTCTCCTTTATTTCTAGTGAGAACAAACGGGTTGAGGGGTGGTGGTGGTACATAAGTTAGGTTTGGAATGACTGCCTGTGAAATTAGGCATCTGTTGTGGAGGCAAGGAGAGGTCTGGGCCAGAGGAGGAGGTCTTAGGATCTTGTACAGGTCTTAACAGGCACCATCTGGTTGCAGAGTAGAAAACAGTGAACCCAGTGATCAATAGGGATATGAGCAGAGCGGACAGCAATGGCAGCAGCGTCTGGTGTCTACGCCGATTCGCGAATCTTGGGAGGAGGGTGGACTGTAGGTCTTTGGGCTTGAAGCCATTCCTGGTTTCGTCTGGCTCTATCCCGACAGGGCAGGGTGACCTTTGAGGACGTGGCCCTATACTTCTCCTGGGAGGAGTGGGATCTCCTTGATGAGGCTCAGAGATGCCTGTACCAGGATGTGATGCTGGAGAACTTTGCACTTACATCCTCACTGGGTAAGGCCCTCAAACCCCTCCGTGTGCCTCGTTGAGGTCTGCCTTTCTCTTCCCTAGGGGCAGCTGTGTTTCACCTCTGAAGCATGCGTACTGCTTCCCTCCCCAGTTCCTTGTATAGGTACCGTGTTTTCTAGGACTGGCCTGAGTGCATGCATGCTTGTCTTCCTTCGTTACCCCAACACCTGCTGCCCCAAAGCCTCACAGGGAAGGATTTGGGACCAGTAGTCTTCAGATCAGCCTAAATGGACCCCCCTGTCTTACCCTCTCCCTCACCGGTGACCACCTTGATGTGTGGCATGCTACTGTGGCCCCTTGCTTACCTGAATTTGGTTTGTGCCTGACTGTGCCAGAACTGTAGTCACTTGTATAGCCATACTACTACAAACTGTTCTTGTAAGGTCCTCCTCCAAGATTCTTAATACTTTTATTTTATATTGTGGTAAAATATACACAACAAAAGTTTCACCATTTCCAGGAGGCATTTAGTACATTCTTTTTATGTTTTATAATTTTTTT